AAGGAAAACAGTTAGGAAATGGAAGTCTCAACGATCACTCAAAAACAACACAGACCAGCAGGGTTTATGAAAATTCATGTCCTCACCTCTCTCAACCTGTTCTGGTCCCTTACATATGCACACATTCTCTTTCTTCACCCCATCAAAAAGACCATTTATCATATTTTATATAATCTTAAACTGAGCTTGATGACACCAGGCTACAGATTGTTGCAGACCATTTTTTTTAAGTTCCACTTTTACTGCAAGATTGCTTCTACTGCAAGTCTCTACACACCGTTAAAAAGAAACAGAGCAGCCGAATACTCAGACGTTAACAAATAAACACATCCATGCCCGTGGCACAATCATCAGCACCTACCTTTGCCTGTAGTCATTATTCTCTGCAGTGCTGGGGAAGGGCACTGTGCTGGGGAGCAGCCCCACGGTACACGTCTCTCAGTACATGTTTCTCAGCAACTCAATCAGCAGCCAACTCGCCACCCTCCCACACCGCTCTGCTGTGTGACCTAGCAGGCGATTGCCTCCTCTGCTCCAAAATAAAAGCCTGTTCAGCATGCAGCTGCTCCATGTGCCCCCCTGTGCCTGCTTGCTCACACCCCTCCCCTTCTGCATTTGAGAATTTCAGCAATATGCTTATTTACAAAGCTGTTAGAAAGGGAGCAGAGCTCCTCTTGTCCATTTATACCTTCCACAAGGATGTGCCATCAATTAATTGTGTTCATTCAAACATCACTCAAACATTTCTGCTCTCTCTCAGTCCACACAGGTGAATAGGCATTTATTTGCTTTTTTTGTGCCCTAAAAATGCTGAGTCAATGAAACCAATCTTCTGTTTCACTTTGTATTTCAACTTGAGAACTGTATTAATAGAGAGCAAGCCACAATGGAAATTTAATTGCACAAGGAGGTATGAATGCAAAAAAGCACAGTGCAGCATTTACTGGTTCAAAATATCTGTTATCCCAGACAATTGTCCCTCCTTCCTGTCTGCAGTTCTGCTGCTTGGATGTGTGTTGACAAACAAACAATATTCCACCCTCAGATGCATAGCATCACTTGGCAAATGTGGGTGGTTTTCTTTCAGATAATAAATATGAAAATAGCTTCCAATGACTCAGCTTTATTACCAGCAAAACACAGGAATCTAAAATAGCTCCAGTTTTCATCTATTTAACTCCAAGTTCACAACTTCATAAACAGGATTCATTTAGTAAATAGCATATTTGTCTTATACACCCTCCCAAATATAGAAGTAGTTCTACTGAAAAGTAGCATTGCTCCCTCTTCATAAGTTTTCAGTAACAGAAATTATCATGTCTTTTATTTCAGCACTGTTTTAATTAACTTGCTTACTCTTAGAACACATACTCATGCAGTCAGCTACCAAAATTGCATCCTCCCCTCACTTTACTCCATGAGTACCCCCACGAGCTGGGGGAGAGATCTCAGCTCCAGAATTCTGGCTTTAAGATCCTGTTTTGATTTCCTTCCAGCCCAAGACCACTACACCACCTCCAGTGTCCCTAAATCTTGCTCTTCTAAGACAAAACTCAACATCAACAAGAAAGTTCAATGCCTTTCTTTGCCACAGGAACATCACCACTGTATCCCTTCATGCACAAATATAAACGCATCTTGCAAAAATTGTGTGACTGACATTTACAAAATGAAGATTTGCATCATATTAGGATACCACAACGATGAAAAGCATAAAAACCACACCAAAACATTTTGGTTGCTAATAACTTTGGTTTGGGTCATTGATTCCTATCAGACTTTATTTTTCAATAGATAATTTATTTTATTCTTAATCTTTACTGAAATTGATTATAAAGTCTTCTGGAGTCCAAATCTGATTCAAACTCAACTCAAATCCATGAAAAATCTGTACAGCTTCTGTAAAGGCCCTTCCACATAATACCAAGGAAACCCATACAGCATGAATTTCTTGGAGTCTCTGTCCAACAGCCTCTCTCTGTATCACATCCAACTAAAGATCATCACACAATGCCACTCAAAGACAGCAGCTGACTAGCTGGCAATTACTGGCTCTTTCATGCTGAAAATGTATTTGTCCCAGGGGAATAAGGCATCTGCATAATTAGCAAAAGCAGTTACATAGAAAATAATTAGCTTGCTGAAAGCCCAAAGGGGGAAAAACTATAATTTTTGTTTCAAGAGGCTGACTAATTATATGCCAAATAACAAAACAGAGATGCACTGAGAATCATCAAGAAATCCAGCATGGATTTTAACTTCATATTCTAGCTATAAGGGCTGCTGGTAGCCTAGCAACCAGCAGCATACTTGGGCTTGCCAAAACCTCCTCCGACTTAATGAAACACCTCAGATTACTATGCAAACCTCCCCCACCCCACTATGAATTTGATTCTTGTGTTACTAAATGATAAAAACAAAGCCTAGCCAAAAAACCAATCAAACAATTCAAGATAAACTCAAACAAGCACTAATGGACTACAGTATAGAAAGATAAGCCAAAACAAAACATCAATTATTTTCAGAGACTTGGAATTCAGTCTGATTAGAGTTGATTCATTAGATTTCTTCTTTGGGTTAAGAAAATGTACTATTATTTTAACCAACTTTTCTACTAGTCTGTGTAAGATTTCTGTTTGTATCTTGGGAACCACTAAATATGAAACCTTTAACAAGTGAGAGCAACTCACTAATCTCCAAAGTACTGCTGATATACAAAGAGCGCTGCTGCAATTCCTTCCTTGCACTTGAATCCTCAGTGAACTGCTAGAGGAAGCTGCTATCCCAAACAGGTGTCTCAGAGCCAAGAGATCAGTTTTTACTGTGTTCCACCATGCTAGAAGCCACAGCTGCTGTCCCAGCTCCCCTGTACCACTGTGCTCTGTGGTAAGAGAGGTTTCACAACCACTTCCAAGTCTCGCTGTGATTAGCACAACTCTGGGGCTCAGTTATGAGTGACCTTTCTGCCAACGGCTCTTGGTTACCCACAAGAGAAGCACATTCATGTAGTCACCCATCCAACCACTCTGCCAGATTCAAACAGTTAACAAGACTGAGCTATTTCCACTATTTACTGAGAAAGGCAAATCTTTTACATGTGCAGTATCTATCACCATCTTCCCTGGTGACTCTGACAACTGCTGAAAGTGTCACCTTTGTTCAGAAAGTGTCAGGGACACGAGAAACCTGACAAATTTAGCTTGTCTTTCTCTCAGAGGCCACAGTAAACTTGTGACTGTGGGTGAAGATAAGCCTCCTTTTGCTGGCTTACACAATCTCACAGATAAACTCAAAGTTGCACAGAGCTGTTGACACACAAGATAGGACGAGCATGTAATGCTGTATTTGTGCTGTGCTTGGAGGGCAAGAAGAAGCAACAAACAAGCCTATGGCACTAAGGGAAACTGAACCCTCCCCTCAAACACACACAAACAATGTTAATAAGTAATGTCGTCATTACTAACTTCATAAATGAGAACCACTTTAATTCTGCAACTACAGAACTTATAGAACAACTTTTTCATTTCTAAGGAATATGAAAAGGTTCTGGCAGAACAATAGCAGATCCTAGCTTTGCTCTCTTTGACCTTTAACACTCCCTCCACCCTCCCTTTTCCCCCTTTTTTGTCTCAATGTTCATACAGGAGATTCTACTGAGGAGAAATTCTACCACACACACACAGACTCCAGAGATGGCATCCTGACACAGCACAAGCAAGAGCAGGGAGACATCAGAAGATCAGGTTAAATACAGTGCAGAATACAGGAGTACTTTTGTGTGAAAGCCTGTCCATGAAGTCAGAAAATGGGGATCATAATGCCTCAGGACCTCAATGTACAAAAAGGGTAAATCTTTCACTGAAACAGTGACAAAGGGGTATAAAAGAAAAAAAAATAACTTTTAATGAAGACTAAAAGGAGAAGATCTGATACACAGCAATGCTTCAGATGTAGCAATATATCTCAGACCACAAGTCTGCCTCCTGGAAACACCAAACAACAGCAATCTACATAGTACAATGATGCATCAAATTGCCTTTTTTTTTTTTTAAGGTTCATTCTATTCCACTGCTAGCAAGACAAAAATTCCACCTTAGCCTAGCCAAGCAGAAAGCAAGGAAGTTGAATCAGCAGTAAATCTGTTTCAGTTTGAGTAGGGGTTTCAGAGAAATCACCTGGAGGCTGGGAACCTAAACAAGTTTGCTAAGGGATTAAATATTTACTTCCCCTCCCACCTGTTAAAAAAGAACAAGGACATTTGTTTCCTAACTGCATTTTTTTTACCCCTGTAAGCATCATCCAGCTGGACATACAAAATAGTCCCATATTGTGCAAAAGCATAATTTTAACCCATTCCATCACAGAGGAACCTGTAACAGGTCTTCATCATTCCCAAACATACAAGATAATACATCACATTTCTGAATAATCCAAACTATAACTTCAGGATTTTCAAATCAGTTAATTTTATTGATTCTGCAGGGATGAAGTTTACTGTGCTGTAAAATGGTTATGGCAAGAAGAATGGTGCCCAGAAAGTGCAATGGTATTTTTTCCCATTTACAAGAGAAAACACCTCTCTGCTCTCTTGACTTTGATGAGCATGGTGGGAATGACTGGGAGATCACCTCCCCTGCTCCTGGCCTTGCAGAGGGTGTGAGCTTGACAGGAACACACAGTCCTGAACTCAGGTTCTTCATCTGCTCTACTCAACTGTTGGCAGAAAGATGCATTCCTCACCAAGAATTCTCCCCAAAATCTACTGTTAAACCTATTAAATTTATAATACCTGTTAAAATTATTTCCTAGCTCAGAAGCTTATCTGTAAACACAGTAATAAACCTGTTATTACAATAAGCAAAACACTAGTCTCAGACAAGACAGACAGATTGAGGCTCTGATAAGGGTCTTTGGCTATCAGTCCTAAACAAACAAAATAAGCCTCACCAATTGGAAATTGCTAAAAGCACTAAACAGAGAGTACAAGTACTTCTACTCACCAACTGAAGTCTGGACCATGTTTCCAGATTTTTGGACCTCGTCGAATTTTGTAAAAATTACATTCAACCTATTTGAAAGTTTAAAAATACACAATAAACAACTGAATTTAAATTTTAGGAATATTAGAATCATAAAATCACAAAGGTTGGAAAAGACCTCTAAGACCATAAAGCTCAACCTTTAACCCAGCACCACCATGTTTACTACTAAACCATGTCCTCAAATGCCACATCCACATGGCTTCTGAACACTTCCAGGAATGGTGATTCCACCACTTCCCTGAGCAGCCAAACTGTATCATCTTATAGAACAGATTTGGCTTCACTCAGGTCATTGGGAGCACTGTCAAAAATGTCAGCAGAAAATGTCAGTGCAAGGAAGTAATTTTAAAATTTAAAAAAGCAACATCAACACTCAAAAGTTGAAAGGAAAACCTGAGATATAATTGAAAATATACATTACTGAAGATGTGATATGGCTAATTGGAGATGCACTTCCAGTTTATCACCACTTTTTCTATCTTAACTATTCACAGAAATACCAGAAAACACACCCCTAAAAACCAACTTGACAACCTAACTTGCATAAACACAAGCTACTCTGAAGTGTCTCCTCTCTACATTTCTCCTATATGCAGAGCATATAGGAGAAATATTAATTCCCTTAATCTTAAATCCGTTAACTAAACATCGGTAATAATTTTTGTGGTTTTCCAAAGATGCTGTGGCATACTTGGGCAAAGGTACAGGATCTGCACTAAATAAATCTGACTGTTTATCAGATTAAAAAATAAAATTAAAAAATGAACCAAGTATCCTGGGAAAAGGTTCAGTCATGAGGTTCCTGAAGTCTTCTGACGTAAGGAAGGGAATAAAAATCAACCCAAAAATAGTGAAGACCTAAGGACATTCTCAACTTACCGAGACTGGGGCAATCCTTTTTTACTGAGATCAGCCCTTACACGTTCACCAACATGTCTGTAAATTTCCACAAGGCTGTTTATTGCTGCATCTCGAACCTGGATGAGATACATGAGAAATCAATCATCTTTATAATTTAAATTAATAAATCCCTAGTAAGTCCTACCTTAGAGAACTAAATTTGTCTATTTCTCAGCAACAACAGCTGCTGCTATACACATTACCACACACTTCATGAAGGAGCTTCCAACCCTGCCTTTCACATGTTAACAGTATCAGCAGGTAATTAAATTGAAAAGGCAGTGAAGGTGTAAGATGAAAGGTTTCATGCGAAAGGAGCTTGGCTGCCTTTGCCAAACTCCTCCCATTGTATACAAATATATTTACTGGATAAAAAAAGGACAGAGACACAAACAGACCTTATATTACTGGGATATTATAAAATAAACTGGTTTTTAATGCTGTCTTATAAACTTACATTTCTATGTTGATAGCAAACCAGGGAGGAAGAGAGGAGTAATCAATCACCTGAGTCACCATGAATTTTGCATGTTTTCCAAAGTGATTTGCAAGAAATTGCTGAGCACATCCTTCCTTCCAGCCAACAGAAGAGACATAAATCTGATTAAAGTGTCACCTTTCTGTACTTAAACCCTTCTTCCACTGGACACAGCAGGCAGAGAAGGTAAACAAACTATCTGCTCTGCCCACAGAAACACCGACTGTGCACTTGTGCTTCTCAGAAGATGGCCCCACACACACCCCAGGGATAGACATGGAATATCCTGAGACACAAGCTAGAATTGCCTATAGGTGGGAGACAAAGGTCAGGCACACATCCCCTGCCTCCTAGCCAAAGAGAACCCTAACACTTCACTCTCACCCACCTCACCCCGTTCTCCTGCTGCACAGCCTTCCTGCTCAGCAGGTCCCTGCCAGCCTCCAAACGCCTCCTCCAGGCATGCCAGCCCTTCCTCAGCACTCCTGCCTCTCTTCTCCTGCCCATCAGCCCCATTTGCCACCAACGCTGCTGGGCAGAGCAGTCTGTGGGGACTCTTTGGTGCCCCCAGTTTCTGGGTACACAGACCCCAGCCCAGCCTGAGCACAAGGATTGCCTCTGTGAACAGTTAGGCAGAGGCACAGCTGCAGGACTGTAAATCCCAAGGAGCACAGCAAGGAGCCCCCACCATCACACTTGGTTTAGTCAACCACAGCAATAACAAAACTTTAGTAATTTTGAAAAAATGATCAGAGTTTAAGTATTGTTGTCACACCAGATGCACATAGGTTAATCAATCACATCAGTTGAAAACAACGAGAGCGCTATTTTTGAAAAGGGCTCTGATGGAACAGCTTCCACATCCACAACAAAAGAAAAAAAAACTGGACTTGATCTGGAACTGTTTCTCGATCCTCTCTCCAAGAGAGGGCAGCAGTGACCGGGCCCAGCAAGTCTCCCAGCGCTCAGGAAGCACCAGCAGCACAGCAGCAGCTCCAGGGGAGCGCAGGACCAGCCCCAGGGCAGACACTGTTGCACCCAGAGCCACTGTCACAGCGATTTCTGTCTGACCAATTCAGGCACAGGCTTTCTGGGAATGAGACACCAGACCCAGAAAAAAGAGAAAGAGATCACCCTTGTGTCCCCCTGCAGCTGGATACAGGACAAGGGGCTGTGCCAGGCACAAGGAAGGGGCAGCACAGAAGAAAAATGTCTCAGTGCCCTCACCAACTTTCCAGTTAATTCAACAGCTCAACTATGGCAGGACCAAGGCACCTACCTGCTTAACAAGTCCAAGCCCTAAAACCAGGATTTCCTTGGAGGGTAACAGCTTGCTTAGTCCCAGCTCAGAACTACAGAGGACCCTAAACATTAAATTTCTTGTACTCATGAGTTTACCATCTTGCAGTGGCACAAGCAGCAAGGGAAGGCTGCTTCGCTCTCAGTCCTCCTCTTAGCAAGGGAGACCCTCTCCAGACCTGGGTCACAGATGTGTCACCCATGCTGGCAGAACAACCAACAGCATTATTCAGAAACTGCCAGTCCACATTACACAATGAGTTTGAACTCTACTTCTCCACCTCCCTCTTCTCACTAACCCCGCATACTTGTACCTAATTCCAAACAAGACAAAAAGCACTTAGGAGCAGTAGATTTTATTCCACTTGCATTTTCATTTGGGTTGCATCGCTGATTAAAGGTCCTGGTACAGACTTGTCTTCACCCCCATTCAGAAACTGCCTGTACAGCTTCTGGCAGTGCACATGGCCAGGCTGTCTGACTGGCCCCATTTGCCCTCCCTGCCCAGACTGGTTCCTCTCTGAAGGTGAGGGGTGCTGCACTGAGCCCAGAGGGATCCCTGCAGCCTCCAAGGCACAGGAGTTCCCTCCCCACAAAGGTTCTCTTCTGTTCATCTCACCTGCAAATTCATGTTGTTCTGCTGAACCCCTGGAGTAACTGATATGCTGTTTTGGACATACTTCAAATTACACCTCTCCAAAACCAGCCAAGGGTTCTGTGTGCACAGCATTGTTCAGAGTTCACCACCAGCAGCACAATTAGCTCATTTACCAAGAAGGCTACCAGCACAACCTTTAAATGTGACTCACAGCAAAAGCTCACCTGGCTGTTTGGATCTCCAAGTAAGTTACATATATGTGGCACTATCTTACTCAGTGTTAAACTCTGAGCTCCAGATCTAGAATAAAGAACAAAAAGCACCATTATGAATCAGAGCAGGTTCATGCACACAACACATGAGGTTTGCAGAAGGTCCTGACTTACGCATTGAGTGTTGCAATAAGGCAGAGGCAAATCCCTTCCCTTGTCCGAAAATTCTTGTGTTTGAATCCTCCTAGCATCCTGTCCCACACGTACTGTGGAAGACAGGAAAGAGAAAAAAATGAGATGGGGTAAGAAACAGATTCTGTCTTCCAGCAGACATACACCACACCACCTCTGGACCTCAAATACAAGCTTTACACCCATCCAAGCAGAACGGGACAAAAAGGAGCAAGATACTTTTAGATCTGACTAATTCTTTGTTTTGTGCTAACTTCACAGTAACTTCCCACTACCTAAAAACAATACTCATACTTACAAAGCAAGTACCTTCCAAAACCCTGGAACAGTAACTCTTGACATATACCCCTCCCCTCCTTGGGAAATCCACTGACATGCTCCCATGTGTATCCTGTCAGGCAATAGCCTTCCCAAGTGAAGTAAACATCTTACAACAAGGTGTAGGGAGATGAAGCCATTTCAGACAGAAAAATGGCAGAGAAAACCTTCTGACAGAAAAAAGGTTTCCTTTTTTCACACAGCCAGTCACTCATGCTGTGGAACATACCTGAGGGTTAGCAGCTTGTTCCATGATTTTCAGCAGCAAGGTCTGATCTTGCTCCCTCACTGAGTCCTTAGAATCTCCCAGCCTATCAAGTAAACTTGGCAGCACTAAGGAAACAAAACAGGAACATTCAAATCCCTCAGGAAAAAAATGTAACAGTGGCAGAGCCCCTCTGCTCTCCCCCCAAAGCCCAGTGGAGGCACCAGCCTTGCTGCCCTTCAGCAGAGCAGGAAAACCACTGAGAGCCTCCCAAGTGCTCTCCTGGGAAGAAGGACAACTCTGAGTCCAGCAGGCAGTGCAGGTGCTGTCAGAGTGACGGTGACAGTCACACAGAGACCCCTCACCTGTGCCAATCTGGGCCTTGAAGCGATCTTGCAAGCGGGACACCAGCGCAGAGATGATGTCAATCCCCAGGAGAACCACCTGCAAGCACAGAACAGGCAAGGAATTAAGAGTGCACTGCAACTGTGATTGCTGCTTAGTGCTAAATTCATATGTATAGATATGCAAGGTACACAAATCATTTCAGTATTTGCTCTAACTAGCATTTCTAATTCATTGTAATTATTACAATTAGAAAATGGTATGCACTAAGAGTTGCTTAATTATTTAATGGCAGAAATTAGACCAAACACTTATATGACATAACTGGAATTCAAAGAAAGACACCTAGTTTGAGAGAAGCTTCATGGCAGGCTGCAGATCAGAAAACCTGGTCTGACTAATTAAGCTTACTTACTAAAAAAAGGTACATCACACACTGAATGTACTATGTAGCCTGTATGTGAAACACTTCACAAAACTCTTTAGATCATGATTGTGCTGGCACAAGACACTTCTCCCTAAGTTTTTGGATAAGCACCGAGGTTAATCACCCCTAGAAATGTTAGGGACAGCCAGGCTTCTGAGGTGGTGCCCCCGGGACTGTGCCAACACAGCCCAGCTCCCTGTACGTACACACAAGTGTACAAATATACACAAACAACCAGGACAGTGGTCATGGCCCCACGCCTGCCAGAGCTCAGGGAGTGTTTGGACAAGGCTCTCGGGCAATATGGATTGCTGGAGCTGTCCTGTGCAAGAGCCAGGAACTCCAGCCAATGGTCCCTGTGAGTCACTTCCAGCCCAGGATACTCTATGGCACTGTCGCACGTACACGTACGCCGCTGTTGCACACACACACACACACACACACAGGTGCGCACAAGGGCCGCTCGGTGCCCGCACCGGGAGCGCGGCTGTCCCTCCCTCAGCCGCGCACCGGAGCCGTGCCCCGCACTGCCGCGGCCGCTCGCCAGGGGGCGCGCTGCGGCGCCGCTGCCGCCCCGCGGTGGCCCCGCCCTCTATGCAAATCGGCGCCCGGCCGGCGCGGAGCCGGGACCTCGGCGCGGTCCGCGCTCCCCTACGGGCGGCGCGCCCCAGCGGCCGCCAACCGTCCTTATCTGGGGGTTGCGCGGCTGCTCAATGAGCGTATGGCGAGAGCAGCCCTGCTAACGCCTTAAACAACACAGCAGCGCCCGCTCCGTGCGCGGCGCAATTTTTGGAACCTCGCACCGCGGCGTGTGCGCGGCGCGTTCTGAACGACGCTCGGCTCGAGCTGGACCGAACTCCCCGTGGCGCTGTACGGAGCCATGCGGTGCTGGGACCTCCCGGCGCCGCTCCCGGCTGCCGGCGCCGCCCCCACTGTCCCTTCCCCGTCCCTCAGCAGTGCCCGTGCGGGGCCCCGCGGTGCTGCTCCGCGCTGAGCCCCGCGCGCTACTCCAGAGCCCACACCCCCCAGCCTGCCAGAGGGACGCGCTCCAAATTCGGCGCCGGAACACCCAGGGAACCATGCGTGGTGTGGCACGGGAAACAGCCTACTACTACGTGCAAAGTCTCCTGTGAAAAAAACCTTCCTAAATACAAACCCCTGGATCCTAACTTCTCCCAACATACAACTTCACATTCTCCAAAAAGTGCCTGCAGTCTTCTCCCCACACAGTAACAGACCCTTCAACACTGTCAATTTTTAATTCAACATCATTTATCCGTACACCAAGGGAGATTTTTTTTCCTTGTGTTTTTATTAAGCTGTGTTTCGCTTTCACATTCATCTCGCACACTGGATTTAATCTACCATTGACAAATGCTCAGCCAGCTGCCCCAAGGCCTATCGCTGCCTGTGTCTGCCAGCTCACTGGCAGCTCCTGCCTGGGGTCCTGCTGCAAGAGGGGGGCTCCAGATCCTCATCAGTGGAGAGATGCTTTTAGGGAAAGTCAATGGGACTGAGTGCCAGTCACCATTCACAGTGTCTGAGCAGAGACCCATCATGCAGCATCCTGCACAGAGATAAGTGTGCTGCCTGCAATTACAGAGATGTGCCCTAGGGATAAATTCGATCCCGGGAGAGGAAGGAATCCATCTCTTCTTCAAACTGCCCGAAAGCCAGGAAGAGTATGGGGAACTCATCACTCAAACATGAAAGGAAACACATGCACAGTGCAAACATACCCTGCAGTTCACCCCCAGGATAAGGCCAGGAGGATGAACTAAGCCTTGCACGACTTTTGCTGTTGTCCTCATAAATTGGCACAATGATTACAGTGGTGCTTGGACAGCTATTGAGGAAACAGCAACTGGGGTGAGCAAATGTTACTCCCGACTATGCTGGATTCATTTATCACCCCCAATGTGACACCTGCCTCAGAAGGTCAGAGGCAAAAAGTAGAAATCGTGTATGGATTGACAGAGTCAACAGATCCGCTGCAGACAGATAACAGACAACCGAGGGCACGGCTGGCAAATGAACAAAGAATTAATTGAATTCCAGCCCTGGCTGCTTTGGACTGACTGCACTGAAGAGCTCACCCGTTCACTGCTGGAACACTACTGAGCTCTGCCTGAATTAACACACACCAAGGTCCGGGAGGAACCTCGGGAGCAGCGATGGGCCCTGCCAGCAGCCATCCCACTGCCACGATCCCGATGCAGGCCTCTCCCCAGGGAAGCCAGCTGGCGGGCACAGCTCCACACCAAGGCACAGGAAGGGCAGCTCTCCACCCGAAATTCCAGATAATGCTGCAATGCTGATAACTACAGAGCTATTCCAGGCCTTTACATCAGCACAGATCTTTTAGCCTCCTATTTACACGGGCCCCCAAAAGAGTGATCTCAGAATCAGAGAGTGACAGCCCTCACTCAGCCTGAGGGTCTGCTTCTGCTCATTTGACTCCTGAGGTTCCCTAAGAGTCAATAATGCAAGTTGTGCCACCCAGTATTCAGCTCATTTGGCATCTGCTGCTGCTTTGTCTTGTCTCAGAGTACTTTCTGTAGGTGCCAAGGGCTGTCAGCAAACCCTTCTCCTGCATCTCTCCAACTGCCAGGTCATCTCTCCCAGTAAAGAAGTCTCTTGTTAGTTCCCAGGATGCAACACAGCCTTTCCCAATACAGACAGTACTTTTTTCAGAGGTCAACAAAAACAACTCAAAGCATCTGTCCTTTAATATCTGGGTGGTGTTGAAAGACTTGCAGGCAGCTCCCCGTATCAGAGAGCAGACAGTCCACCATCATCTGCTCCAGCAGTACATGGTGACCAAGCACACCAGACAAATCCACCCAGTTTAAAACAAGACACCTAAACACACTCCCATGAAAGGGTAAAGAAGCTGCACAATCCAGCGACATCTGATTGAGCAGGTAGAAACCAGAGTGAATCAGCTCCAGGCTACCCTGATGCCTGGACAAACTGGGGGGAGACAAGGCTTTCCCTCCACTCACCACACCATGCCACAGCAGGGATGTGGTGGTGGCTGTGGGAACCCTCATCCCCTCTCTTTGCAGGGAAGCAGCAGTGGGCTGAGCAGTACAAAGTCACAAAATCCTCAAAGTCACTGCACTCTGCTGGCCTCCTGCTGAACCTTCCATGCCTGGCAGCTTGGGACCTAAATGGGAATGCTGGAGAGAGCTTCTACAGCAGCTGTGACAGCAGCTTGCTTCATGCTGATTGCCACCACTGGTGACACAGCTTAGCTATTTCACTTTGAAGTCTGAGAGGTTTTCTTTGGAGAAGGGATGGGAAATGGAAGACAAGACTTCTAAATGTCAATATAAAAAAAAGAGTTGTAAGAGTATTCAACCACTTTTTTTTAACAGTTGCTTAATCTTTTGAATTCATAAGCAAAAACATGGAGAAGGGCTTGCATACTTTGAGTAAACTTAATATACTTTTGAAAAAAAGTGTAATACTTCAGATTACACACTGAGAAGTCCAAGGCAAGCATAGATGGCTCACATCACTGCTGGTCTGATCAGTCAGAGAGGGAGCAGTTCTAATTCCTTGTGACATGAAACATCCACCACAACTGAACTGGGCACTCAAGACCAAGCTGAAGTTAGATGATATTGGCAAATTTAGTTTTGAATCCAGGTATTTGGGGTCAGCACAGCAGTAACCAAAGTCCTGTCACAGAAGCCTGGAATCAGCTTCTGAAATGCTGCATCTCACCTTATAGCTGCACACAACTATAACCACATCCACCCTGGAACAGTCCATCTCCTTCTGCCATTCCAAGAGTTAATATTCATTTTCCAAGGCAGCACCACATCTGCACTGGAAGCATGAGTCCATCTCCCCAGCCCAACAATCCTCACACAGACGCCAAGGTTTTTTTGTACAACACAATTTGCAAAACCAACACCAGCAAAGAAAAAGGCAGCAACAGTAGCACAGCTGGTTTTACTGACATGCCTACACACTATGGTCAAAGAGCTGAACGGGGGGAAACTTTAAATATATATTCTTGGGTTTTTTCTCTAGATTGATGAGATACCATCCATTTTGTCACAGACACCACCTTGAAAATCCTCAAATTCCCTAATGGAATTAGGTGAACCAAAACACCCAATGAAACCATCAGCAGTTGTAAAATAAGCAAAAAACTGGTTATTGAAAGCTCTTCTTCATTTACAAGCCTGGTAACAGATGAGCAACTCAGTAAAAAATGCATAGTTCTACACTGAAATAAATTCCAAGAGAGCTAAGGTCATTTAAATGTTGGGAGACATTAAGAAAAGGCTGTCAGAAATAATTGCTACAGAGATGTATTTTTACCGCTACTGTTAGGACACAAAGGCACCTTTCATGTGCAAAAGCAAGAAATTCCAGTAATTATCTTCTGGATTCAGTAAAAAAAGCCAACAAAAGCCCCTCAGTTGTCTCGATCTAAAAGCTAGAGATTTGGTAGAATGAATGAGAAATTCAAAGCAATTTAAAGAAAATGCACCACAGAGCACAAAAGTTATCATTACAAAAATTCCACAAAGACAAACAGGGTGATGCTTGAAAGAACACGATCACCCTGAAATGCAGACATCTGCTTCCAGAAGAGCTGACAATTATGTCCCAGGTGAAAGAGCTGGACCAAGTCAGCCCTCAATCACAGTGC